CCGGGCCGCGCCAGGCCCAAACAGTACTGGTTCCAGGCCGGTTCCGGGCCGGGTGGCCCGACCCGAGTCCATGACTACGCTTTTACAATGGTCATGTTAGAAAGCTTCTCTTCGGGAACTTGGACGAAGATACATAATGTTACATTCATTCATTCAAGGTTATAGATGTAGTTTCAAAAGAACTTTGCGGAAAATCATGATAATGTTGAGAATCAGTACTTTTCATGGGAAAATTAATCCATGAACATCCCTAAGTCTTTTTGCCTATTTGTATATGTATAATCAATTTTAAATGTGTGGTGATTTATTTATTTAGAGTTCCAAATCTTTAGGCATCTATTGATTTATAATACGTAGTATATTATTGGGCCATTCTCCTTTTCTAGTGATAATTTTAGTCGGCAACATGATAAATTCTTTAGAAACGGTTGAGAGTTGTCTTTTATATTACACAAATAGATTCGTAGTATGTGAGAATCCCGGGACGCAAAGAAACAAACTGTCAAAATGCCACTTTTTTACAATGTAGGACATATATATTGTGTTAACAGTAAATGCTTAAACTATAATAACTTATTTGAAAATATACAAGGAAAGATAATTAGCCATGGAATAATTGAATTGAATAGTGAAAAACATGAAAGAGATGAGCTTTTAGTGGGGTGAAATAGAAAACAGATAGGTGATTTGAGAAACACAAACTAATTGCTTTTGAATCTTTAATTACATTGTACTCCGTAGTTATTTAGTGTAGAGCAGATCCTCCTTCGAGTGAAAAAAACGCTCCTACACAGGAGTGGTTGCTATATTATTTGCCTATGTTCCTATCAAGTTAATTAGTTACCCATATTGTTATATATTGTTGTAAATATCTTCTTTTCCACTTTCTAAAGTTTAATTAACTCTTCATTTTGGTTTCAAAATCTCCCAAACAAGTTGTCCATTTCACGGATTATAAAATTACGGTAAAACTGAAGAAACATATTTATGTGTTTTATGATTGCATTGATTATGTGTTTGAGATGATTTTCACTTCAGTTTTGGAGCTTTATAGGCTTTCTACTAGCTATACTTTCCTAGCGCCCTTGAATTACGAACTTAATGTTCTTAATGCGGTTTTCTACGATTTGGACTACGAATTATTTAAGTATTTGATAGTAACATATGCAAAAACTAGATATTACTCCGTATATCAAAAGGTAAATAGCAATTTTCCCTTATTTTCATGACTCATTAGTCATTGTCACTATAGTTTTAAACTTTTTTTTACTTCAAAACAGAGAAATCCGGCTCATTGCAAGTTGCAACAGCATTGGGTCTGCGGGACGGGTACGCTTGAATAACCAAATTTAGCAAAGGATGTACGTGAAAGATATTTTAAAAAATGCTTGTCTACCCAAAACAACATTTCATCATCATATTAAAAGTAACATAACAATTAGATGAAAGACTAATTGTCAACAACGAAATTAGCACAAAATTTTAGACTAATTTTGTAGGGCTTCTAATGAAAGAAACCCTTCCAAAAATTCTCCAAGGCTTAGGATGAACCTAGGCCAAAGAGGGGGTTTGGAAATAGTTTTCAACCAGCAATAGACGCGCCTCGGTTATTACCTCACTAGCTGCGTCATTGCCCCAAGCGCAAAGATGAGTTAGACGTGTAGCTGCCTTTCGTTTTTATAATAGATCATTCCCCTCCCTCTTCTCTATTTAGCCGGTGTGGGAAAGTTAACCGAATATTAGATTAAAAAAAGACCTCCATTCCATATGCCTATACGAATCTGCGGCATCAACCGTCAACGTTTGGCTCAAATCGAAGGTCTGTTTTTCCACTGTCTCGTTAAATTTATGTAACTAAGGTTTATGTTATCGTTATTCGTTTAGATTCACTGAATTTCAATCGAACCAATCTTTAGTATACTCATGAGAAACTCTGTGGAGCATTTGTTTGCTGTTAAAATGCTTGGTGGCTGTGATTTTCCTGCCCAATTCTCGGTGATCGTTATTTCGTACTCATGGAAGCATAATTGAAGTCGAATTTAGGGTTCTGAATGCAGAAACTAAATAAAACTTTCCCAGAATCCCAGCTCGGTTCTTAGGTTCTGTTTAGGATTTTGAATTGAATATTGCTATTATTAGTATTTTGAATTTAATTATTGGTTGTTGAATACTTCAATCGGTCGATGAAATGCAAGAGTAACTGTTTTTGTGCTGTCAGATCTGCATTAGTGAAGTGTGTTGTAGAGAAGAGTTGCTAGGCTGATCGTATTATGGAAGGAGTTAAGGGAGACGATGATGATGGCGGCACACTGGCCCCACTGGTGAAGTGGAGAAGAGAGTTCTCTAGAATGTTCAGGCACTACCTGGATAGGTCTGTTCCTTACACATATAGGAGATGGCTTGGAACAGTAGCGGCTGCGTCAGTATATGTATTACGGGTTTACTATGTTCGTGGTTTCCATATCATATCCTATGGTGTTGGAACCTATCTTTTGAATCTGCTGATTGGATTCCTATCCCCCAAATATGATCCTGAACTTGAAGCTCTTGATGGGCATGCTAGAGATTCCGATGAATATATACCATTTGTTCGCCGTCTCCCTGAATTCCTGTTGTGGTGAGTTAGCTGTTGTTTTTTTTGCTGTAATGAACTGCCAAAGCTTCCAAATTTCCTCTCTTGTTGCTTATTTTCTGTGCTGAGAGTAGTTCTGCTATGTTCGATTAGTTTTTCCCCATCTTTTGATGTGTTTTTAGTTTTATCCACTTTCTTGTTGATTAATTAATTGAGCCTTACAACCATTTATGTTTGAGGAAGGATATGTTCAGAAATAAAACACTAGTGCCTGGCTTTGCCTCCATATTATTTGTTTTCTCTTCTGAACTACTATTCTGAATCTCTTTTTAATTTGAATTAACGATCTCGTGTGCAAAATTGGAACTGTGATTATTAGTTTTCACATTGCACACCCTCCATAATAAGTAGTTCTTCTAGATTTTTTAATGTTCTATACTTCTCTTTTCCATGTGCACACTTCCCATGTGCACTTTTTAACGGTATTTTTGGATCAGTAAATGCTAAGATAATGTACAGATGCTACGGAAAGTTATTTGCTTATGTTTGGTTTTATATTTGAAAATACAAAGGAAAATGCAAGATTGTTTATTTAGTATTCTAACATGCATTTAGATTTCTTAGACTTTATATTCATTAATAAATAAATAATTTGAATTTGAAAAGAACATCTCTATTTAAATACTCTTTTATTGTTTGACCAAATCTTTTATTTTCCACCAAACCTTCCTATTCCTTTTCTCCTAGTGTTTCCAAGATCCAATTGGACTGTAAATGTTTGGTCATTGCAATTTGAATATCAGGGGCAGTCTTGTATGCAGCAGGAGTGGCTTACACTGAGGTGGCATAAAAATGTATTGTTGCCTTGTTTCTTGTAGCCATACCTAGAGTGTGATGTAAACTTGTTATTACTGCTAATGAAATACCAGATGTATGGATATGATATGATCCACACACAGTAGTCTAATGGACTGAGATGTTAAAACTAAACTACCTGTTCATCCTATCACCTAAATAAATTTTATTCATTCTTCAAAAGGTCAATTGATTTTCCTTTATGGTGACTCCAATGCAGGTATGCAGCTACAAAGGCTTTTGTTGTAGCTTTTTTTATGACATTCTGTTCGCTTTTCGATGTCCCGGTCTTCTGGCCAATATTGCTTTGTTATTGGATTGTGCTTTTTGTTCTTACCATGAAGCGTCAGATAACACACATGATTAAGTACAAGTATGTGCCTTTTGACCATGGAAAACTGGTGAGATAGACTTCTATCGTCATGACTAATGAGCAGTTAGCTGTTCATTTTTATTGTCACTATTTTCTTTTTTGTTTCTGTATTTTTTCTTAGTTAAACGGAATGTTTGATAAAGCAGTGTTGAAATTTGACAGAAATACAGTCGGAAGAGGTCGGCTGCAAGTAGTGGGGGCTCATCAAGTGGTTAAAGTTGCGTGGGTTCGCGATAGCATGCTGTGGCTGAGGTTTGGAGAATCACATCTTTTTGTTTCTGAAGCATTTTTGTGTAATTGTGTTTCTCAGTCTGCTGAAGAAAAACTATAGTTTGCTTTGACATAAAATCAGGGCTGATGTACAGAAAGATTACATGGTAGCATTTGGAATAGGCTAATGTTCTTTCATGCCTCCCCATGGCAAGAACTCCTCTGGGCGCAGAGTATATGTAGTCAATCTGTATCCTTATTTTTTAAAGTAGTCCATCTGTATCCTAATAACTCGTTTATTTAACAATTGCTGTTGTGCAGTTTTTGTTTTAAATACTCCAACTAATTTGCAAGTAGTGAATGAAACTAATCTGCAACTATTTTCATGTTCTTTCATGCCCCCCATGTTTTTAATTGGACTGAAATTTTCTGGTCTAAACTGGTCTGGTCCCTATGTATTTTATAGCTATTCAGGTCTGGTTTGGTCTGCTGTGGATTGGGACTGAAAATAGTCCAAGTAAAAATATCCTAAGAGCGAGTCTAACGTCTTATAAGTCTTGTGGGCATGAATGCATATAGATTTTTAAGAATTAATTCGATAATTATCTTGCTTTGCTAGTTGAAGGTTTTAGTTTTGAAATGTTGGAAGACTTGAGGTAATCTGAACGTTTATAGTGTCATATTCTCTCCAACGTTGTGTAATACACAGGCGCATATATATGCGGTTGTGTAAAGTTCACATCAATAAATTGTACTCCTTACTCCGTATATTCAATTTTTTTCTCCCCCAATGCTAATAGTCTCTGATTATGTGCGGCTGGTTTGGCAAAAAACGACACTATAAAGAGATCTTTTTCAACTAGATCACTCATTGTAATTATGCTAAATTCTAATTACAATTTACATGATAGCTTCCTATAGAATACCTATAGTTGAATTTTAAATTATTCACATTATCACATATCATCATATCATAGAATCCATAGATAGAAAGGGATAAATAACATTCAAATATAAAATTTCCATTGACATTCCCAATATAAAAATCAACCTCAGATTAATCGGTTAAAACCAAGTTTAAAGGAAGGACTACCTTTTCTTTATAAGGTAGGAGTAGTTTGTTAAATAGAACGTTTTTTTATACAAAGAAAACTAAGTAGGAGTGGATCACGCTGAGGCAGCAATTCCAGCAACGGTTTTCTTTATTTTGGCATACACTAACTTAACTTATTCAAAAAAACTTAACCTATTTCAAAAAAAAACTTAACTTATTCAAAAGTAAACCTTATTACAAATAGCAACATTACATATATATATATATATATATATATATATATATATATATATATTACGAAGTGTGACTGCAAAGAACAAAAAAAAACATCCAATACATGGTGGCCGGGGCATGACGTACAAGCCAGCACCGTTCACGAGCTGATTCTCGCATGAAGATGATTTGATGAGCTGCTGTCGGAGGTAGCAGCAGAAGCCTTGTTCGGCACATGAAACTGAGAAACACACCGGTGAACCGCCTCCTCGGGTGGTGGTGGCTCGTTTAGATGTGCCCAATTGCTCTTTACCCACCTACACCCAATCATCCATTCCCTCCATTAATATTAATGTCTATATTGATAAACTATGGAGTAATAAAGCAGTATAGTAAGATCATGAGCTACGCTTCCCATCAGGTTTATTTTTATTTTTTTGGATAGAATTCCGGGTCTTAACATACTGTCAAAGACAAACCAATCCATAACAATAGGTTGTGACCCTATGAAAAATAATGATGTGATTATAGAAAATGACAATAAAGAACTAATGAAAAATGAATGATGACACGATTCAAACGAAATGTATGATAAGATCATGGGATACTTCTCGTATGAGTTTGAGGATACAAACTCGAGTCTTAACAGATAATCAATGTAATTAGCTGTTAAAGAAAATCCCAACAATGTGTGTGTGGTTTAAGTATTAAGTAAATAATTACCAGCCATGTGTCTGGGTCAATTTATCCAGACTGGTTTGACTATCTGCTGGGTCAACAACAATACCCTCCTGGATTTCGTTGAGTAGTTGCCCTGATGAGCTTGAGCTTGGGTGGTAGTGATTATCCTCTTCCTTCTCCATTTCCTTCTTGTCCTTCTGCTCTTTCTTTGATCTCCAATAAGAATTTATTTCCTCCTTTGTTAATGACTTATTTCTCTTGTACTTCACTGAATATTTAAGGAGTATAACAAAACGGGAGTTAAAAAGTGCACTACTATTTCAATTCTCTTATTAAATTACTTAAAATGAAGTAAAAAAAAAACAGTGTTTACCTGCTTTAGGATCAGAAACCAGTGAATCCCAACCCGGCGTGAGAGAACCCATCTTCTACATAAGAGTTTCAAAACCAAAATCTTTTCTTTCTAAGAAGTTCTTTATTAGCCCAAGACAGTGTTTGTTTTCTTTTTATAGGTGATATTTACGTAGGTGAAAGTTTTTGATAGAAATTTTGTAAGCATATTTTTATGCGGCTTCATGGAGTGTGGATTATCTTCACGCGATTTTAATTTCATCGGAAAGTTAATTAAATAAATTATTTAAAAGCACGATGTGGCGAGTGATGAAGTGCCACCGTCTGAAATTATCAGTAAGGGTGTTCATATCCATTCATTTATTATCAGTCTCTTTTTTGTCCAAATTGAATATGTCATTTTTTGGAAGATTTTAAAATAAATCCCTTTTTTGGTTTTTGAGTTTAATTTAGTAATATTCGTGGAAATTACCAATTTTTATCTAATGAAATGTTTATAATATTATTTTTGTCATTGTTCCTTTTTCATATCTAACATTTCTAGGCCTTTTCGTGCATGTTTGTGAATAGGAATTATTGGATTCGTTTGGTTCGGTTATGTAAGAGAGGGAAGCAGCTTAATTAATTCCAATTGTTAATATTATCCACCCATTCTCACATCGAGAAAGAGCTCTGATCTGTCAATATATATGTAGAAATATTATCTTTCAGCATTTAGATAGACATGAAACCCAATATTTTGGAAGGTTTGGGAAGTCTTGACCATACTCCAATTTCGACTGCGGTTTTAGAACTGATTCTTTCCCGGGCGCCAGCAGATTTGCATGGCAGGCTTGCCTTATCCAATTTTCGTTTGCAACTTGCAAGTATGGCAGTTGCTTGTGATGCTTATCAACATAACTAATTTACTTTTAATGACACATCATGCTTGAGGAAATTTCCAAACATATTAGAGCATCTTCAATACTAAAACGTGAACGGTGCATACGTGGCACGCGAGATAGTCAATTAAAAAAAATAGAACCTCAATGTAAGTTTTTTTCACAATGTCAAGCACAATGTCTAGAGGTAGACATTGTGCTTGACATTGCAGAGGAAAACTTGCCAAAAACACATAAAACCGTGAAAAGAATGAGAGAAATGTTATAAATTCATTTTTTTTTTGTGTCTATCTCTCATGTCACATCATAGCACTGTTCCATTAGACATTGTCAACTTTGAGTTGATTGTAAAATAAGAAGAGTAAAACTTATTTGACTTCCTTTCAAATAAAACTTATTTGACTTAGACTTGTGCAGGTGATTGAGAATTGGGCAGATAGATAAGGAGAACCACAAATTCAATACATTGTTGTAAACGAAAAGTGAAAAAAAATCTAGACTAACAAAAAAAGGAAAATTGCTGAAATGTTTAATGTTATGAGATAGAGGGAGTGCTAAGAATTATATGCGTCCAATTTTTTGTATCTCCACCTAGCCGGACAAATTTTACTCTTCATCCTCCCTCTGGCCAAGCCCATTTGAGGGTTTTCGGATCAAACTTTTTGATGAATTTTTTTGAACATGTTCCTCATTAAATGTGAATTATCTTATTAAAATTTTCATTTTAAATTCAATCGGGAAATCAGTTAAATAAATTATTGAAACATATGTGCTTTATTTAAACATATGTGAAACAATTTCTAAAAAAAAACAATATTTGTAATGAAAGTGCCAACTTTATTACAATTCCACAATTTGATCAATCCAGTAAGTGTAACTTTTATGTACACACGTTATTATTATTATTACTATTTACTTATCCTTGCAACCAACACGACAACCATGGCGACGAGGGCGCTTTGAAGGGTTCTCTGTTTCAGAATCACTCTCCAGAAGAAGACCTCTGAGGCATCTCCTTCTAAGAGTAGGAGTAGGCTGTGGCTCATGTGTAAATTTTTTCAGCTGAACAGCCTTGTGAGCTTGAATGGGGGCTGTTTCGTCATTTGAGTTCACAGGTTCTGTTTGCAAACATGATGGTATTTGCAAACTCACCCCAGGATTTCTTTCTGTGATTGTACAGTCTACCAGGATCGCATTGTTCACTCCTTGAACATTGGAGTTGGCATAAACCGCCAGAACTTCCTGTTCTTGGTTGGTTTCTTGGCTGTTCGATTTTCTTCCCGCCTCCTCTATATCAGTGGTGATGATCACTTCGTTGTCGACAATGCGGTGGTCATTGTGGTTTGATTTATAAGCTCTGTGGATGTGGATGGGACGCTCCTTAGATGACGGGTCGAAGCCTAGTTGCATGGATGCCCCTTTGTTATCGCCTGCAAGCGTTATCACTTTTACTGCCCCCAGCACATCTTCCATGGATGATTGCATCTCCTTTTTATCTTTCTTCTGAATAAATACTTGCTGCTTCTGCTTCTGCTTCTTGTCCTGCTGCTCATCATTGACCACTTCTCTAGTTTCTGGTCCATCAGAATTGGATGCTTTCTCTGTATGCTCCACCTCCTTTTGCTGTTCAGTTGCTTCTGGCTGCTTTTTTGCCGTCTGTTCCTCTGTCATTTCATGTTTTGCTACGCTATGATTACGACCATTCTCCCCTGTCTCTGGCAGTATTTCATTATCTTTTACGACGCCTGAGTTCGGAGGAGGTGGGGCGGTCTCTTGCTGACTTTCTGTGAGGGCAGCAGTTAGTTTTTCTGATACGATTTCTGGAGCTGCTCTATGGCTGCTAGCCTCAGAAAGTCCATCAGATTCCATAGTATCGGTTCCTGATACTATGGAAGGTGGTATGGTCGTGTCGGGTGGCTGAATAAGCTCTTTTGTTTTTGAAATGGTTTCCTGAAGTGCTGCTTGGTTAGCCTTTACTTCACTGTCAGGAACCGAAACTGGTGTTTGGGTTGTCTGCGGTGGGGGTGGAATTCCCTCCGCCTCTAATGCTGAGTGCACTTTAGCAGATGATTCTCCTCCTAACAGCGGGGCATCCCCCACAAGAATAGTAGGAGGTGGTGCCAAACATGATGGAGACTGGGGAGGAGAAAGAGGAGGAGAACGAGGCTTTCGGCTCGGAGAGGAACGGGGTGGAGTGGGTGGCCGTGAAGAAGGCCTGGATGGGGATGGGAGTTCAGGTACTGAGTGCACTTTTTCAGAGGATTCTACTCCTAAAAGAGGGGCATCCCGAGTAGTAGGAGACGGTGGCGGGGGAGGAATTCCCTCCACATCTGGTGCCGGGTGCACTTTAGCCGAGGATTCCCCTCCTGATGGAGGGGCACCCTCCACAAGAGTAGTAGCAAGTGGTGCCAAACGTGATGGAGACCGAGAAGGAGGAGAACGAGCCTTGCGGCTCGGAGAGGAACGGGGTGAGGATTTAGGTGATGTAGTCCGAGTGGGGGAAGAGGATCCTTGCGGTGAAGCAGTCCCTTGCCGCCTTTGAGCCGCGGCAGCCTGGTCGGTGTTCTGGCTTGGTCCTGTTGAGGGCTGAGTTGGGGGTCGGGCTTTGGGTTCAAAGAGTTTACGAAACCATGCCATTTGCAAAAACAAAGGAATGGGTATAAATTTTAACTTAAGGCCTTGGGGGATGCTATTGTTGATTGGATTTCAGCTAATGAAATATGGCATCAAAAAGCATTTATATATGCATATGTTTTTTGCATTTTGAGGATACAACGAAGAAGAAACTTTTCAATTTAGCTTTCCAGCTTCTTTACCTTTTCTTGGGGATTACCAACTACTCAAATATGCGTGGGATGGAAATAATTCTACAAAGACAATCCCCTCACCGCCAAGATTAGCATCTAACTGCTAAGTAGGCAGGGGTTCTTCCTCTCTCCCGCCAGTGGGATTCTGTTCTAATTAGCATCAAACTTCCCTCCTACATTCTCATTAGCTTCTGGGAAAATGGTAAAAATATTACTTTTCCATCGTTAAAGACGAAGTATGTCTAGTGTTCATTTTTTTTTTTCGAAAATGTGATTAATCTTTATTTAATTAATACATTTTTATTTTAATTCTAATTCCTACTCCACTTACCATCCCTGCCCCCACTACCTTCTCCAGCAACAGTTTCCCCTAGAATCCGCCACCGGTCGCCGGCAAATTTCGATGATTTTTTTCCCTTCTTTTTAGGTTTTTTAAAAAGTTCCGCCAGAATTTTTGATGTTTTATTAATTTTTGCCGCAAAAAATTCTCATCGATCACAGTAGCATGTTTCACGGCAACAATGACGTTTGTTGGTGACATAAAACTAACAGTGATATAAAAATTCTCTATTGAATTTATTACCTTGTTAAAATGTTTTGATTCCCCTTTTACTCTTACATGGAACCTGCTTGGGTCCACCCGACATCGGACCCACAATAAGGAGTATACAAGCAAATGTTGTGGAACATCAATAGTATTCCATGTTTGTACATGAGGTCATTAAACTAAAACATTACTCTCAAAGTCATGGACATACATTTGTAAGTGTACACACTCAAATTCTCTATCATCTGTGGACTTTGATGCACATTGATGTACTAAAAATATTTTACATACAGCATTTCAGAAGCTTTGTTTAAAATGTCCATTATATAACGTACAAGTTACACTTAAATTCTAGGTTGTGGAAATATTACTTGACTATACATGACCTTACGTGTCAGTTATTGCAAATTTTTATGCTTAGTTGAGCAGAAAGGACCTGAAATATTATTTCATCAATTTGCAATGTTTGAACAATATCTTATTCATTTGAATCAAGAGAAGTGATAGTCACATTTTACCTTTTCTCCTAGCGTGGTAAGTGGTAACCTAAAGCAAAGAACAAAATGGAACACTTACTTTTGAGGCAAAGTTAAACCGATAGGGATTTATCTTCCTAACACTAGTAATCCAAGCAAAGAACAAGTAGATTAATCGCGCTTTAGGCAAGTAATCAAGATTTGTCATCATTTAAGCACATCTAATCATCACCATATCATCTATATTAATTAGGGGTAATAATTATTAACTAAGATCACATCTCTAATCCCAGATTTTCCTTTTTCATCAAAAAACATGCAAGGCCTTCTGCGGGCAGCGAGAATGTGCCACGAGAAGCTAGAGCTTACGATTTTGGGCAAATCACAAGCAAAAAACGCAAGGCAAATCAAGGGCATAAACGACATATCGGTGATGGAATCGCCAAAAATGCAGCACAAGGGGCTCGAGAACACAACGGTGTCAGATGTATTGGTGACCAAAGAAGAACATAATATTAGCTCATTGCTTAGCTGTAGGATTGAAGACACCGTTTACAACGCCGCAAAGCAAGTATGTTCCATACCAAAGCTCAGGCCCCCTTTCGTAACATTAATAATCTTATTCTATAGAATAAACAAAATAAGTAGCATTTGACTTTTATATTTTGCTGAAATAGATATTACCAAATGTTAAAATTCAGAAGATTCTGTCATTTTAGCCAAATACCCCTTACAAAACGAGTACAAAGTTTAACATGGTTCTATGCTTAGCTTCATGGTTACTAGCTTTGATAGAATTATAATGCTAATATAATTTTAACACACACAAAGATGGCTCAAAACAACATTGGCTCATTGGTGGTTCTAAAGCCTGGTGACCAACATCAGATAGCAGGAATCATCACAGAAAGGGGTATGAATCTCTACAACTATTTTTTTTTAAGTTATTACATCTACCTCTCTCTGAGGTGTGGTCAACACACCAAACCGCTCTTGAGATTTCTTAAAATTATAAATGGAGCCTGTGGTTAGTTAGATTTTCTCAAAAAAGGTACTACGTACATGATATAATAATGCTAGTAGAAAATAAGTTTTATAGACTATTATTTATAACATTTATTCCGAAGACCCTCTTTGGAGAAATATTAAAATATACGGAGTATTAGCCAACAAAATGCATAAAATGCATTACAGACACCAAGACCTGGAACTATCTTGTTTGATATCATTATAATTTATTATTAGTCAAAGCTCAAAGGGCTACTTTGTGATTTTCAGAAACCTTGAGGGTCATTTGATGAATAGAACAAACTTTGAGATGTAGATGCAATTAATCCTGTTTTACGTTTAACTTACCTAATGAAATTACAAATTTATGAGGAAAACAGATTATGTAAGGAAGATGGTTGTGCAAGACAGATCATCCAAGCACACAAGAGTGGGAGATATAATGACTGACCAGGTTTTTAGCGGATGCTCCCTTACTCAACATCACATATTTTTCATCTTAGCTTTCTCCCAACTGTCCTGTTTTGTCGCAACAGAGCCAATTGATAACGGTCACATCTAACATGAACATTCTACAAGCTATGCAGATCATGTCAGGTAATTCTAATAATTTATGCAATAGTTATGCCTCGTGTACACGCCAATTCTACACGCAGGCCAAATTGTCTACCGAGCACAGACAATTTGACCAGCATGTAAAATGGCGTGTACAAAAAGCATTTATCTTTATGCAAAGGCAGCAAATGCAAAACTGTGGTAACTGCAAAAGAATATTACAACTTGTTATTATGATCGTAGAGAATCACATACGGCATGTTCCAGTGATAGACGGGAAACTTGTGGGTATGATCTCGGTCGCGGATATTGTCCGGGCAGTAGTGGAGCAACAGAGAGGAGAAGTTAAGCAACTGAATGAATTCATCAGGGGAGATTATTATTGATTCTACTTTGCCCAAAGCGGAAGGAAAATAAAATAGATAGAGAAACAGAAAAACCCATAGTCAACTGTAACTCTAAGTCTGTTCTTTAAGTCATAGTTGCGAGGAAAATATGGCGTTCTCAAGGGGCAAAGCCACCTCAAATGTAAAACACTTTGCAAGTTTGCAATAGTTGAATTCCATAACAATGTATTACCAAGAGAAATAAAGGATAAATTTCATATTAAAAAAAATCAATCTTCATTTACCCCAGTGCCGCAAAGGCTCCCATCTACGGTGGGGTAAGGGGAGGTCGGATGTACTCAGTCTTACCCCTGTACTAAAGCTCAGAGAGACTGTTTCCGGATGACCCATAATGAAAATCGCGTCCAAAATTGCATGGACTGACTGTTGCTTCATACAAAGAAGAGCAGACAGTTTGGTGAGTCATTTTGCTTTATTCCATCATATTCTCAAGCCAAAAAATAATGAATCTTTGACTTCATTGCAAATGATGGAAATTTGAATTGGCAACATGTACTCCATCAAAGGATAAATTTCATATAACAGGAAAAAAATGTACATTATTTCCATACCAGAATATATAAATTTGAATTGGCAACATGGTTAAACCAATACAGCAAGAAACTTAACAGTGAAGATGTAAATCGAAATCAAGTCCAGGCACTTGAATGTCCAAGGCAAGGTCTGAAGGTCAACTAAAAAGCTATGTTATTAAAGTCGTACCGGGAAGCAACTTGGCCAAGTGCGGTGTCGATCCTACATAAATTTGGACCTGAGTCAAACTTTAGATAAAGGCCCTACTAATAGTAGTAATTTTCATTATATAATTTTTTATATACTAAAAGAAGAAATAAATAATTATATATAAATATATATATATGACTAAAATAAAAAGTTGTTTATAATAATGACTATAATAGTAACTTACCATAGTAACTTGTGCTCAAATTTTACATTTAAGTGACCATAACACTACATTATAGTAATTATTAGTCATATTTTAAAAAAATAAGAATCAGTTTGCCTAAAATCACTTGATGGAATAGGAGTTCGAGTTTGAGTTACTCCAATAACTACAGGGAATGCCATAGTAGAGCTAAAGCCAATAGCCGTAGCAATGAAAGCTGTCTATCAGAAGGTAGGAAAGTTCCGTCTTCAGCTGAGGAAATGTTGTGAACAGAAAAATAAAATCAACGGGGTGAATCGTTACTCAGATAATCCACGATAAAAAAATACCGTTGCCTAGAGCTAAAAGGCTAAACCAATTTTTATTCCAAAATGAGCAAGAATGAATCCTAACAAGGGGTTTAAATACTCATCTACTAATTCTCAAACTAGGAAACAAAATCTTAGAAATCCTAATCAACTCCAACTAGGAAACAGAATAATAAAGATCCTAATCAACGTCAAATAGGAAACAAATAATATAAATCCTAATTAACTCCTAATAGAAAACAAATATTAGAAATCCTAATTAACTCCAGCCCACGAAGGTAGGCTCAAGCCCGTCCCATTTTTAGTAAATCCACGGGGGTTTCTGCCCCTCTTCTTCCAAGCCCAGATTCTGCTTCATATAAGGAAAGGTACGAAGTGACTCGACTGAAAGGAGAGGGATGATCTTGTTACTGCTTCAATACCAGAAAGGGAATCTACATATGAAATAGTTCCAATATCGGCACAAAGATAAGCAGGAAATGGTGTAACATCAGAGTGAATAGTTGATGTAGCTGGTAACTCATTGACCTCTGCAGCTTCTCCGAGCTATCTATCTCTAATTCATTTACAATTTAGTTTTAGTAATATTTTTCAAAAAACCTCCAAAAAGAATCAACCTCATAACAATAACTAATTAAATAAGCTTCTTCCAATATAATATTAAAACCCAAATGTATTAATTAATTAAAAATTATATACTCCGTATAAGTAATGAATAGGAATTTCTATTTTAATGGGCCAAAAAATGGGCTAACATATTAGGGTTAGAAGTTCTAACCCTAATAACTTAGAACCAATCACGTACTAATATCTGGTATAGAAATAAGTATATAAACAATGAAGAACTATTGAATTTAATTGTAAATCAATGAAAACATTTTGGTAAAGCACGATCCAACAAAAATTCAATAATTAACTCTAAATTGAAGTAGAAGAAGAAAAATGAGTAACTAATTAACAAGTCAGTCCTTTCATAATTTACGAACCAATAATAAACAATAAAAAAAAAAATTAAATCAGAAAGAAAGGAAATTTTGAGCATGAAGAACATATTCCATCTGAAAATAAAACAATCATTAGTTCTAACCATCTCGCAATACATAATTTTAGACTTGGATGTGTTTTGGGAGTTCCCTTTCTTCAAAAGGGAGAGGGTGTGTTCTGCAGCGTCGATGAGGTCCTCAATGTTGTGTCTGGATCGCTCGTCCGCACCCAGAAGAAATATGGCCTGAGCCTCAGCTTTCTTCTGCAACCAACTTAGCCGCAGAGAAGGAGAGTTAAGACTCCTAAGCATCTGGCGATACAGAGAGAGAACCTTTCCCCTATTCCTTGCCAACTCCTCTGTTGTTGCCCATATAATCCCCATTACCAATTCTCACTTCGTTGAAAAAGCCACAAACAGAAGATCTATGATAGTGTAAATGAAACTTTGAAATTATATAATCCGATTCCATCACAGCTCTGTTCTAGGATTCACCAGTTAGTCCCATTTTTTTCTACTATTGCATATCACAATTTCTTGGTTCCACATTTGGATACAAATTTTAATGCTCCTCAAAGAGATCCTTGTATATATAGAAGATTTTTGGGAAAACTGTCAAATAGATCCTCGAACTTTCATAAAAAAGTCAATTAAGTCCTTCTATAGGAGGTTCTGTCCGGTCGTCGCAATTTGGAGCAGTTCCCGGTGGAATTTTTTGATGAAATTTTTTGAGCATCTTATTCACCAAGTCTAGTTTACTCATACCAAATTTCAACTAAAAATTCAATCGGAAACACATTCAAATTAATTCTTGAAGATGACTGCGCATTTTTGCGTTCTCGAATTAATTTGAATGTGCTCCCGATTAAATTTTAGCTGAAATTTGGTATGAGTAAACTAGACTTGATGAATAAGATGCTCAAAAAAATTCATCAAAAAATTCCACCGGGAAACGCCCCAAATCGCGATGACCGGACAGAGTCTTCTATAGAAGGACTTAATTGACTTTTTTATGAAAATTCGAGAACCTATTTGACAATTTTCCCAAGATTTTTTGGCCCCCTATTTTTTAAAAATAATTTGGGGCCCTAGCCATGTGACCGGGTCACGAATCAATCCAATCAACCTGGTCAATATTTAAAAAATTAATACTTCGTAGCACTTGATGTATACTTCTTCCATCCCTTAATTTTTTTTAAGGAAAATTTTGTGTAACTAATATTCATTTACATTTTTCTTACTCAACTACAATCATGTATTTTTACTTCATTCTCATTTTCTTAAAATTCTGATTCAAATCAAACTGAGAATAAATTTATGGGACGGAGGCAATACTACGTATTAGTATAACATGACATTAAATGGTAAGTGATACAATAATGAAAAATTGTAGTACTTATTAAACATTGAAAAAAAACATAAAATTTAAAATAGGTTATAATCATCATTTATATTTCAGAGACATGTTTGTGATACATTTGAATATTTATACATGAAAATTATGTCAAAAATCAAAATTGTTTTTATATATGTCAAATATTTGGAATGTTATTTAGATGATAGGGAAGTATAATGATAGCAACAAGCCAATAACATGGACCCATTATTATATTATTAACTCCGTATTCTTTAGTGTTAAATAATAATTTACAATAACACTTTGGCTTGCTATTTAGGATAGATATCAAAGGTACAATTACGTTATAGTAAAATAGGCGACCAGCTTGTGGCAGTGGTAGAGTGGGATGCCATCTGTGTGCCTTGCGGGTTTTTGGGGTTTTCATGGGTTTTACTTGATTAAAAGGGTTGTTAAGCAGTCGGACCAGATGGGATGACGGGTCACCGATTTCCGGGTCGACCCAGCTGGTCCGGTCCTGTTCTTGTAACACAACCGAAAAGACGACTTAAGAGAACAAGCCATGAACTTGATGAGCTTGTTGAATATAAGGTTATCAAGTTGTTGCCTTGCAAAATGAGCTCGTGAGTACAACAGTAGAGGCTCAGACTCAGTGAATTATCATAAAAACAATTCTATAGAGCTATCTTCTGGTTTCCTTCAATTTGCGAATCCTTTGAGCATCACGCATAAACCCACCAGATTCAAGTCCCTCTATGATCCTGTCAAAGTCCTCCATTTCCAAATGCTCCTTATTGGCCTCCACAACACTAAGAGATTGCAAAGCCTTCTTCTCAACCCCACCCCTTGCATACATTGCACAAAGACTAACATTGACTTTGACAGGAGGCGTCTCACCCATCCTAGCAATCTTATCCACGACCTGTTCAGCTTCATCAATGAGATGTAATCTACTGAACCAATCCACCATAACAGAGTAAGTAGCAACTCCAGGTTCAAAACCATCCTTCTCGAGCTGAAGCAGAAGATCCACAGCCGTGTCCAAACAATTCCCCTTCATATACGCTGCAATCATGCTAGCTGTACATCTATCATCTGGTTTGGCTTTAAATCTCAACAGGCGATCAAAATGTTTCCTAGCTTCATCATATTTTCCAACCTTCCCATATGCATCAACGATTAGTGCTTGGGATTCTGAATCAGGCTGAAATCCAGCCAACTGCATAAAAGTGGATATTTTTACGGTCGAGTCATGATCACCATCTTGAGCATATGATCTCATTAAAGCAATATATATCTCTCGTGGTGGCTCGATTTCCTTCATCTGCATATCCCTAAGGAAGCTCTCACCCTCTTTTGGTTTGCCTGCATTGACATAGGTCATTAACATGGTGCTAAACATCTTCGCATCAGGTTGGAAGCCTTGTTCTTTCAAATATTCAAACATCTTGTCTGCTTGCTCAACATTCCCTACTTTGCAGTATAATCGAACCATAGTTATTGATGTAAGGATGTCAGGTACAAGCCCATTGTCATACATCTTTTTCACAATTCTTTCAGCATCATGGAATTGATTCCCTTTAGCATATGCATCAAGGAGCTTCCAGTAGTCAAGTTGATTTGCTTGGAAGGACTCTTCGCCAAGAACATATT